TTGAGCCAAAGATTTATTGACCCAAATGTTGGTTGACCCAAAGATTGGTTGACCCAAAGATTGGTTGACCCAAAGATTGGTTGACCCAAAGATTCATTGACCCAAAGATTGGTTGACCCAAAGATTGGTTGACCCAAAGATTGGTTGACCCAAAGATTCATTGACCCAAAGATTCATTGACCCAAAGATTGGTTGACCCAAAGATTGGTTGACCCAAAGATTCATTGACCCAAAGATTCATTGACCCAAAGATTCATTGACCCAAAGATTGGTTGACCCAAAGATTCATTGACCCAAAGGTTTATTGACCCAAAAATTCATTAACTCAAAGGTTGGTTGACCCAAAGGTTGGCCAACCCAAAATTCATTGACCCAAAGGTTGGTCAACCCAAGGATTCATTGACTCAAAGATTTATTGACTCAAAGATTCATTGACCTAAATATTTATTGACCCAAATATTGGTTGACCCAAAGATTGATCAACTCAAAGGTTGGCTGACCCAGAGATTCACTGATGAAAAGATCGGTCGACGCAAAGATTTCTCGACCCAAAGATCGGTTGACCCAAAGACTCGTTGACCCAAAGGTTGGTCAACCTGAAGATTCTTGAGGCAAAGATTATTGAGCCAAAGATCACCCACCTAATGACCTACCTAAGAATTATCTCCCTAAATTAGACCTTCAACCCTCTCCCGGAAGATCCCACGAGTTAAATTGGGGTCTGTCCCTGTCAAAGCTCAACCTTCCCCTAAAAGTCAGTCTTTGGGGTGGAATTGGGCTCAGCTGACCCACCAGGGTGGGTGGGACCCTGGAGAAGCTGGAAGGAGCCCCGTGGGTCACCCTGTGCTCCTTCAACTGGAGATGAAGGTTGACCAGCACCAGTTTAACGTCCGTTCTTGACGTTCTGGCGGTTCCTGCCGGGACCCGGGAGCCTCGTTCTGAGGCAGCGGAATCTCTTCACGGAGAACCTTGGAGTCCTCCTTGACCAGATTAGGCAAGAACAGGGTAAAACTCAGGCTCCCGAGGAGCGGGGACAGGAAGCGGGACAGGAACGTCCTCTCCCGGCGCGGGGGACGCCCATCGGTCGTGACGGCCCGGCGCGGTCACCGCGAGGACGCGGCCCGGTCTGGAGGAGAGCACCAGGTTGATTTTTAGGCAGCCCAGAGCCGGGGTTGAAGGGTCCTCCTCTTCCCTCCCCGCAGGGTGTCCGGTGAGGAGTGCAATGGGATCAACAGCATGGCGGCGGAGAGCGGCCCCGGCACGAGGCTGCGGAACCTGCCGGTGATGGGGGACGGGCTGGAGAGCTCGCAGATGTCCACGACGCCGACCCAGGCCCAGCCCCAGCAGGGCATCGGCGTCGGCGTCAACCCCCCCCCGCCGGAGACCTCCAACCCCAACAAGCCCAAGCGCCAAACGAACCAGCTGCAGTACCTGCTCAAGGTGGTGCTCAAGACGCTCTGGAAGCACCAGTTCGCGTGGCCCTTCCAGCAGCCCGTGGACGCCGTCAAGCTCAACCTCCCCGTGAGTGCCGGGAGGGGGCGGGGCAGGGGGAAGGGGCGGGGCCGGTCGGGTGTGGCGTGGCACGGGTGTGACATGGCACGGGTGTCCTCCCGGTCCTGAGGTCACAGAACTCCGCCTGCGCGGTTGGGGTTGATCCAACGGTTGGAGTAGGTGGTCCAGTGGTTGGACTCTGATCCAATGGTTGGGGTTGATCGAACGGTTGGACTCAGTGGTCCAATGGTTGGACTCTGATCCAGTGGTTGGACTTGATCCAGTGGTTGGACTCCATGATCCAGTGGTTGGACTCCATGATCCAGTGGTTGGACTCCATGGTCTAATGGTTGGATCCAACAGTTCGACTCCATGATCCAATGGTTGGACTTGATCCAATGATTGGACTCAATGATCCAGTGGTTGGACTTGGTGATCCAATGGCTGGACTCCATGATCCAATGGTTGGATCCAGTGGTTGGACTCCATGATCCAATGGTTGGATCCAGTGGTTGGACTCCATGATCCAAT